AATTGAGGCTTGCAGAATCAACCTCAATAGTTATATGGAGAGCAAAATATAAAAGACATTTTCATACTTAGTATACGTGATTGGGCATATCTCTAGAAAATATACTCAAATTTGGAGGGATGATTAACCTAGAGTCTAGAGAAGTTTGAAAGATAAAGTAAGTTATTAGCGTTTTAAATACCGTATTTATAATTATATCGGTATAACTATTATCGGTCTGGCCACACCTAAAATCGACTCAAGTTATACTTGTTCAAGTTGATTCTGTAGTAAAAACGATCGTCTAAGCCTTATTTAACCACTCAGGAGCAATTGTTCACGGCCATTATGGGGAAATCCTCTACAAAGGAGATACTTTAATTACATTTATTTACGAAAAGTCGAGATATGGTGATATAGCTTAGGGACTTTCAAAAGTCGAACAAGTGGTAGAAGTGCATTCGATTGATTCAATATCGATGAATCTAAAAAAGAAAGTTGAGGGCTGGAACGAACGTGCATAACAAGAATTCCTGGAATACATTGGACACTCTTGATTGGTTAGCAAATATAATAAGACATAAATATATAAAACCAAATATAATGAAAAAATTAAATGACAACATTCATTAAATTTTAACTTCTCAATTGAATAAAAAGAAAAAATCCTTAATACCAATTTAAATTTTAAGTTAATAATTTTTTTTTTCTTGCATTTTTTTATTTGTTGACAGGTAGTTTAGCCTAATATTTTACAGTATTTAGGGAAAGATTCCAGTGAAATCGGTTATTACTGTAAATCTAGACTTTTGTATGTAATCTAATGAGGTATTCGGTACGGTATTTTAAACATTGTCCGTGATCCTGTGTGTAGGACTGACACATAGTTTAATTTGATTTCTGCATCAACTGCCTAATAGTTATGACAAGTTTTATAGATAACATCTTTAACAAACTTATTTCCTTTCTTTTCTGCCATGAAATATATATTTTGCTACATATATTGCACATATTGTTTTTATATTTAACACTGATATTATATTTCATGTTACCTATTTTATCATTCATTAAATTAAATTATAAATAAATTATTAAAAATTTCTTTTATAACGATATTAGTTTGTATCTGTCAAAATGTACTCATTTCTACGTGATGACATAAAACGGGACGTCCTACCTACGTATTTAAAACGTCGTATCACAAAGTTAAGGAGCCTGCCAACTTGTGTAGTGTGAAAATAAAATATCTTATTTCAAAGTGAAGAATTTGTATAATTGTTCATTTTACATTTTATACATATATTTTTTGTAAAACGTACATT